AGAAGCCTTGTGCATACTGCTAGGCTTATACTTGAGCTTTGTCAAGCACTGATAGATGATCAAGTCAGACGAGCTCCCGGTATCGATGAGGATCCGGCCCACTCGTTGGTTGGCAACCTTGCATTCGATGACAATTGGGTCATCATGGGGCCGCCTGACCATACCCCGATCCTTCTCGGAGACGAAGACCTCAGGGAAGGTGTCTTTCGACGCCTAGCCCTCATCCTCTGGGTTGGATAGTTTCCGGATGTTATCCTTAGTACCCCGGATGGTAGGACCTCCGCTTGCAAAGTCGCCTGCTATGGTGAAGATGTGCTCTTCATAAGTATCATGACTCACAGCCGGCTTCTTTGACGGTTGTCCATTGTTGGGTTTGGGGTTATCCTTGGACTTCACCAGGTAGGATGTCAAAGCCCCCTCATCAGCCAGACGGTCCAATAGCCGCCTGAGGCTATAGCAACCATTGGTGTCATGGCCAACATCCTCATGGAAGTGACAGTATTTGCTCTTGTCACGGTTCTTGATAGAACTCTTCATTGCAGCCGGCTTTTCAAGAGTTAACCGGTCTTTGATCTCCATGAGGATGGAGGAGCAATCCTTGTTGAACTCGTACATGGGGACGTACGGCTCCAACTTTCTCTGTTTCTTCTAGGACGGCTGACCAGAACGATTCGCCGCCCAGACTTCTTTTCTTTTCTTGCCCTCTACTTTTTTGGCCGGCTGGGCAGGCCGGCTGTCTCTCTTGTCGGACCTTCTGGGCTCCGACGAGTTCTTGATGGCACAGAACTCCGTCGCCTTTATGTAGGCTATGGCTTCCATCAACGTCTCTTGGAGGGTGGTAACCCTCTTGCGGTCTAGGTCGAACTTGAAAGTCGACCCGTCCTTCAGACCCATGAAGAAGTCTTTGTATGCAACTTCGTCAGACAGCCCCTGAATTTGAATTCTCATCATATTGAACCGCCTGGCATAGGACCGTAGTCCCTCCTTGTCTCCCTGCTGAATAGCCCCTAGGTCGAGACTTGTCTTTTTGGCAGGGATGTTCATGGAGAAGTTGGACGCGAACAGGTATGCAAGCGTCTTAAATTTGTTGATGCACCCGGCTGGCAGGTTGCCAAACCATCGTTGGGCTATGCCCTTCAATGTTGTCGGGAAGCATCGGCACCAGGCGGTGTCATCCAGCCCCTATAGGTACATAAGGTTGGTGTATGCCATTAGGTGGTCTTCCGGGTTGGTGGTACCGTCGTAGGTACCGACCAACACATTTTTAACCTTGGCCGGCTGTGTCGCCTCGGTTATCTCCTTGGAGAAAGCTGAAGGCTGTTCCCCAAGGTTCAGCAGCCGGAGCTGCCAGTCCATGGGCTGGACCTGATGTGCCGCCTGACCCCCAAAGGGGGACGGCTGCATGTATGGTGATCCATACGGCATGTATGGTTGTTGGGTCACATACGGAACCAGCTGCATTATATGAGGGCCAGTGCGCGCGGACACGCCATGTGACTGACTCCCTTGATGTGTCTCCGAATGCTTCATTGAAGTATTGCTGAAACTGTCTGGGTAAATCGACGTTGAAGCCGACTCAGACATGTGTTGACTTCTCTTCTCTTGGATGAACATCCGGGCGTCAGAGTAAGTCTTTTTTGACCCATCGAGCTGAACTTGCCGGATGGCCTTCATTTTCCCTGAATCAGGGAAACGAAGTTTGGAGAGGTCGATCAGGGGCCCATCCGCCCCCTTTGGTTTGGGGTGAGGAGTAGGCACCCGGTCTTTGAGTTGCTTCTTCCCAGAAGGAGAAAGTTTCTTTGCTGGCTGACCCTTGTTTGAGCCAGTTGACTTCTTGATTATGTCCTTGATTTCCCCTTTAAAACTCGTCATGAATTTCATGAGCTCGTCTCTGGTGACTGGGGTTGTGCCCTACGCCGTCTGGGGTTGCCCAACAGGCTTGCCGGCTGGGTTGCTAGTACCAGCTTTGTCTTGGCCCCGTTCCCTTGTTTCTTTGGAACGGGTGTACCTTGATCGAAGCGACCCGTCTGGGGCCACATAGGTGTTGACCTCATAGTCGTCACCACTATCCTGGTCCGTGTGGACCTCAGGCTCGGCCGAAGGCCGTCTGCCCTCAACAGGCGGTACAATGTCGGATGTCATCTCAGAACTACTCTCCTCACAGACGGCGCCAAATGTTTCGGGGGTTTTTGGAATTCCTCGGGAGAGTTACAATTTTGGGAATGCGCGCCTAACGTCTGTACCTGCAAAACCACGAAACTCTGGTTGGGTGGAGTTCCGCCTCCGACGATCAAGTTAGTATGATTCCGGATGGGTAAAAGTGCGGAAAGTAAATGGGTTTTTCTCCCTAATTCAGAGAGATTCCGCAATTAATATTGCTCGGTTTTTTGTGTATATTTGTGAATGTGTAATAAATGAGGAATTTCCTCTATTTATAGCAGATGAAGATCTGCCCCCCATTAGGGTTATAATGCCACGTGTCAGCATCCGATTGGATCCCATTGGGCCTTTGAAGGGCTGCCACGTGTCAGCGTGGTATTGGGCCACGTGGCATAGGGGGGTTTTTTTACCCCAAACACAAGGTATTGATTTCTTTTTATTATTAATATTTTAAATTTTACTTTTCATTAATACACATAATTATATAAACAAAATTACGGAGTACTAAAAGTCTCAATTCATAATCCTCCAAAATCATCAGTTTATCACTATGAAAGTTTATTTGATTAATTGTAATTATTAAATCAACAATAATGATTTAGTTACATGACAAGTTAAAAAGTACATATTGCACTTCTTTTCTTTTTGTAAATAAATGCTTTCCAACCAATGAAAATTAATTAAACTTATTATCCGTATTGTACTAGAATTTTGATTTTTAAGACGAGAGAAGCCAGGAAGCCCACAAACCAGAGCCCACAACGAGGTTCCTTCCTAAAATCAATTGGTAATAGAAGGAGTAGTCGCTTGGGTTATAAACTGAAAGTCATTTGCTTTCTTTTTTAATATTCGACAAACACTACTCACACTTGCACCTAGCAATCTCCCTCTTAAGTGTGAGCCTATACACTCCCTCTTGAACAAAAACGCACCCAGAACCTATAGAGCCTAGCTCTAAGGCAAGACGACACTCATAGACAATCCTTAACGCCGTAAGACCTAACATAGACGGTGACCCAATCAGATGGTGCAATTAAATCAAACCTAGCTCTGATACCTGTTTGTTAGAACAGATAGGAAGAACACAAAGGAAAGGAGCCCCGAAAGGCCACAAACTAGAGCCCACGACGAGGTTCTATCCTAAAATCAATTGGCAATAGGAGAAGTAGCCCGCTTAGGTTATAAACAAAAAGTCGTTTGTTTTCTTTTTTAATGTGGGACAAACACTACTCACACTTGCACCTAATGCTTTCTTTATTTTATTTTTTGGGGGTCAAATGTCAAAAATTTGATGTAATAAAACGAGGAACTCCACGCCAATAGTTGCTCTTGTCTTCTTGGGCAAGAATAGGAATAAAATAATAGGAAATTTTAAAAAGAAAAAAAAAACTTGGAGCCAAATGAGGAGGAGAAGAGCAAAATTATTTGGTGAAAATAGTGGCCCCAAAATGAAAATAAGAGAGAGAAAGTGAAATGGGAAAACAAGTATTAATCAAAGTTGCAATCTTGTTCTTTATTCAATTATAGAATGCCGAAACCGTAATTGACGAGGGAAAAACAAAATCTAAAGGGAGCACTATGAAGAAGAGAATGAATTGAGGGCTTCATTATGGTTGTTGGTATTGCAAGAACAGGAGGAGAAAAAGATCCAAATGGATATGAAATGTGGGATCTCCAAACCTCTAACCAACTCAACCAAATTAGCCAAGCTTTATTTCTCCTTTATTGGTTGTACATATCTCAGATAATCACCAAGAAGACAAAATTTTTGCAATTGAAGAGAGAAAAACTGCAAAAACGAAAATTTAAGAAAGAAAAAGTGAAAGAGAAAGACATGTTATTGTTTCAGAAAATTTAAAAAATGGAAAAGAAACAAAAGATAAAAACTTAGACATTATTTTTTAAAAGTAAATTTGCTTTATTTTCAAACTTTTCGAATTTTAAATTTCATTGGGACCCAATTCACTAATTTTGTGAAATGTCCAGAATACCCTTGCTATTGTCATTGAACACCAGCGCAATTATTGTTTCAGACAAACTTGGTTAAATATAGAATTAAAATATAAACATAAGCACATGATTAAAACACGAACATGTAACGATTAGTCGGAAAAAAAAAAAAAAAAAAAAAAAAAAAAAAAAAAAAAAACGTCAAAATGCACAAGCACATAGTCACGTATGGTGCAATGAGTTCCACTACATAACAAAGGATGCATGTTCATACTGAGGTCGGTTAAATTGGGTGTGCAAAGGGTAGCACGGTTAAGAGTTTTGGTGCGAGGCAGCCTACCTTTTGAGGGTGTATGCTTTCAGACTGCTTTTACAGATTTGTGATGAAATCGAACCCGACTCTTTGGCTTGGTGGATTTACAATCTTCTAAGACCGGCCCTTATTGCCCTGAGCGTTTTTAGGTTGGTAAAGCATAAATCCCTATTGCTAGCCACATACTTAGAACACGTACTTGTGTGGCAAAAAAGGTAACCTAAAATCGACGTATTTTGGGGACTACTAACCTAGTCCATGATGCCCCTAATACAAATAGATGCATATGAGACAATGTTAATTAAGTTGCAAAATACACTTCAAGAATCTATTGAGACTCGTCCACTCATTTCCATTAAATACCGATCACTCAAATCGATAAGTAAAAAAGAATCCTCCCCATTTCTAAGGGTATTGATTACCCCTCATTTCTTACCTCTCAAAAACTTGAGATAACAATTACGATTACCTTCCTCTTAACAAATAACTTTTCCATGGTTAAACCAAATAAATGAAAAGGTATAGCTAAATGATTCCTTTCCCCCCTCTTAGTTGTTTCCTTTTCACTCCGTTTCCATTTACCGAACCAAACGCCCCCTAAATGGGGTACATTTATATACTTCCATTTTCAGATACACAAGCTTTACAAAATATTTCCTAGATATATTCTTGTACTAAGGCTACAAGTTAACACTCGCAACCTCAATGATTAACTACAAAACTGTGATCAAAATATAAACTACGGGCCTAAGACTTAAACAGGGGCCAATTGACCCCAATTGTCATCTACGGTTACAAAGATGCTAATAAACACCCTAACAAGCCTACTGTATGGCACAACATTACATGTTTTGAACTTCCCAACAAAAGTTCAGTTCTGCTGCACATACAATGATTCAATATTTAAGTTTCGATGTTATGTCTGATAAGACATGGTTTTCTCTGATGATACATCGTCACCATTTGGCTGGTTGACATTGGGAAGCTCAGACTGAGTTTTACTAGAATTCCCAGAGTGGTCCACAACTCCTGGAAGGGAATTTACCACTGCATCTTTAGTTCCATCTTGATCCAGTTTTTGGGGCAAGTTCTGCTGATTGTTGAGGATTGATGTGGAGGCTAAACATGAGCTTTGAGGCACACAAGGACTTGGAGCTCCACGTGACATTACTAGCTGCGGAACTTCAGTTGAGGGGGGCAGCCTACAACTTGTGTTATCAATAATGTCCAAATCTAGAGCTAAACTCGAGTTTTGAGGCACACATGGACCTGGAGCTCCACAAGATGCTACTAGCTGCATTTCCGGGGGAGGGGCCAATCCAGAACTTGATCTTACAATGGGATCCGGAGGTGAAAATGGTGATGGATTTTTATGATCCGCACACGATTTCTGAGGCACACATGGACCTGGACTTCCACAAGACGCTGCTAGCTGCAATACTTCAGAAGATGTGGTCAATGTACTACTTACTTTTCCAATTGGGTCCAAAAGTACAGATGGTGATGGATTTGTAAGCTCAACACACGAGTTCTGAAGCACACATGGACTTAGACCACCACAAGATGCTACAAGCTGCAGTACCTCAGGAGATGGGGCCAATCCACAACTTGCTTTTCTAATGGGGTCCATAAGTAAAGATGATGAAAGGTTCATAGGCTCCGCATTTGAAGGAAGCATTGGCAAAGATGACTGAATAGGAGCTGATTTTGAGGCATGACTATCGCCAGAGGAGCTTCCATGGATGTCCTGGCTACTGCCTGTAATATCAGTCGGAAGTAGCCCAATCATGTGATGTCTTCGTTTTTTCTTTTTCTTCAAATTCTTCCGAGGATCCTTCGGCTGAGAAGGAGGTGGTCCAGGAGCAACAAATGGTGGAATGGAAGGTTTCTCATCAGCATAAAGCAAACGAACTGACTTTGCTATGGCAGAGACTGTAGGTGGAAGTTTACCATCTAGAATTTTGGAAGGAGCTCCTAAAGCATCCTGAAGCCAATGTGGTAGCCTATTCTTCAAAGAACTGCTCTCTGTTGCCACTTCTTTCCCTTTGTAACCAGAAAGATGAGACCCGTCGTTTGAATGGTGGAACAAAGTGGCAGCTGGTGTCTTACTACTACACGCATCTTTGTTGGGAGCATGACGATTTTTTACTGAATCATCTAGCTGGCAAGGAAGCTTTTGATGTGTAAGTGCATCTAATTCATCTTCAGACCGTACAGCATACCCATTTGAGGAATTTAAACCCAGAACAGTCAGGTTTCTGGGACCAAAGGCACTACAAGGACCTTGTGGCTCCAGTTGTATACTTGGTGAATTACCATGAATATCAGAGGGAGTGATGGATGGGTCTCCACAGAACCTGGCCGAAAATGATCCAGCACCTGTCTGAAAGAGAGCATGGGTTTCATCTAGGGATCCAGAAAAATTAGAAGGTTCAAAGGGATGAAAATTTGTTACAAAATCACTGAACCCCAATTTCATGTCTGTCAAGTGACTTTGAAATTTTATGGGTCCAGCTAGCCTACTTCCATGCAAAGCACGTGCCATCATTCCATCAGAAAACCTTGGGAATAGTGTAGAACTGTGAGATTTCGCATGCTTAATAGATCTCATGCTAGGAGAAGCATCCAATATCTTTTGTTGCTCAGCTACCCACCGTGAAGCCAAGTCATTTGGAGTTTTGTACTTCGAGAATTTGAGCCTCGGATCCCTATGCATGGCATCCCAATTGCCTCGTCCATACCTACGAACTCCTATCCAAAGGGAATCAAGTTCGTCTTCTGACCACACATCTGCTTTTGACTTTCTTTTATGTAAGTTTCTTGTTCCTGCTGCAGTCCTCATAGCTATATTCTCAAGAACCTTCCTGTGATTTTCAGGAATTGAAGAATATGCATTTGGCTTGTGCCCCAGACTTAGTGTGGGTAAGATATCTAATTCTTCCTTGTTAGAATAAGGGAAGTCATGCAAAGGAAACTTCAAACTTGGCAAAAATGGCATTGCAGCAGGTGGATGCATATTTGCAGCATCATCTTTTCCTCCAAGAGACAAATCGCCTAAAAAGTTAGGTGCTGGGCTCTGCAAGGTTTCAGGTGGAATGGAAAATGTTGACAGTACTTTGTCATTGAAAGGCAATTTGGGCAATCCCATTTTCTCCAGAATATCAGCCGAACTGGCACTTGAGCTCTCTAGACCATCTGAAAATCTACGCTGAAAGAAGGGTGGGGAACACTGCAAATAAAATAAAACATGTTATTTACAATTTTCACTGCATATCAAATTTACTAATTTAGTCAGAAAAATGGGAGAGTAGAGTTGCCAGTGGGAGATGGGAGGAAAGAGAGAGCACCAGAGGCAATGAGAAATGATTGTCATGAAAACGACTCTTCAAATACTGAGGTGTAAACTCTGATGGTGCTTCAGGAAGTTTTAAATTGCCCATTGTTGTCTCAAGTTCCATTCCGTCTTTCTTTGTAAAAGTTCCAGAACAAGCAGATGTGCTTGAAAGAAAATCTGACTGGTTTCCTAGTCTTTTTTCTGTAGACCTTGACATGTTTCTGTTAGATGGCTCAAGATGATAAGCACTTGGTGCACAAAGTCCAAGAACAGGCAAAAGGTTGTCTGCAGCAGCTGATTTTGATACATTTGCACCTATACTCTGACCAGAAACCACCTTCAAAGAAGAGTTTCCGTGGAGTTTGGGGAATGGGTTGTGAAGATTGTCAAATTTATGTTTCAGTAGTTTTCTATTCATTTGAGAAGTGCCACTACAGCTATTTGGAACCTCATTTTCACTCAACTTTTTATCCTCCAATTCAAATGATGTAGCTGCTTCTCCTGGTAGTTCAACAGATCTTGTCACTTCTTCCTTGTCCTCAATATTATGTGGATGGCATTTTGAAAGCAATTCAGATTCAGGACAGACAGGAGAAAGAACTTCAAGTGCTTTTCTCTGAGCAAGCCGATCTTTTTGCCGAGCACGAAGCCTAGCACTGGTACAAGTTCGCACATTAGTATATAGAATAAACAGGAGATAAATCATGCTGCTTGCAGTTCAAATTCATTAATCAAGCAGTATATATTCATCCAATGATTCAGAAGATAATATCTACCAGTCTAACATGAAATGCAATGTGCACTAAAAATCCTGTCCCTGGCCAACAGACACTTGGACAGTTTACAACATTCAGACATGTTATAGACTTCTTAAAATCTACCCAATCCATAGTAATAATATTAACGGGGCAAAAAGCTATACATTAAATTAGCATCAATAAAGCAAAAAATTATTTCCATAAACAATAAAGCTTACCCATTTTACAAGATATGTAAAATGATATTACAATGTGACTCCATCCTACTATTCACTAAACAAGAGAATGGAAGGTTCATTAGTCAAGTTACTTTACGTACTTGCACAATATTGCAGAGGAATTTAATCATTTGACTAATGCTTGGGATACACAAACCTTCGTACAGCTAAGAATAGATAATTTTGCCATGTAAATGGTATAATTGTTCTATTTTTTTTCACAAGCATGTGTTTGTTCTATTTTGTTTTTTACAAGCATTTATGTTCTTGCAATGAGCTCATAGTTGTTCATGACAATACCATATGATCCAAATACTGTATTATTTGTTTAAACTTATTATGCTAGTGAAAGTTGATATTGGATCTCTGAATTAATTACTAAATAAGGTATGACAAAGCAATTTAAAGACTTTTGAGTCCCGTCATACATCATATTTTTAAGGTATGACTGAATTTGATGATGAAAACAAAATCAGCTCTTGATTAAATGGTAAACCCCCCCAAAAAAAATGAGAGGACACAAATTGCCTGATCACCTGCGTGATCAAAGACGGAAAAATAGGCAGAGTCACTTCAAGCTTCAATGTCTTTTCCTGAAGCAACCAACAAGAGAGAAAAAAAAAATCCATCTTTGAGATTTGATGGAGAAAGCAAGGAGAAGAATAGAGGAGAAAGGATCTTTGAGTTACATTTGAGGAGAGTGAGAATAGTGGTGCATTTCATTGGAGAGAGAGAGAGAGAGAGAGAGAGAGGAGCTGTGAGTTTCAATGGAGGAGAGAGAAAGGCTCTAACTGATAGAAAATTAAGATTTCTCAATACTAATAAGACCCCAAACCTCAATGTCTATTTCAATTATAAAGGTGCTAAAGAAAACAAGTCTACAATTTCATTAGGCTGTATGTAAACAGCCATAAGCATAGCCCATAACTAAAGGTACTTCAACTAATGGTTTTCCTCCCCCCCCCCCCCCACCAAAACAAACAAAACATACAAATGAAGTAAACAAAACAGCACTCATAGGATATAAAACATAAAATTGACAACTACATCAACAGAGGGATCGAAAACTTATGCAGATCATGGAATCAAACAACTTACAACTTTGCCTTGAAAACACGTCCTGCAGGTGTGTACTCTCTTTCAGGCTCTGGTTCTGGTTCTCGGTCATCTTCAGCACTAGTCTGAAATATAACCAGCAATACTAAGAACAGGCATCTTTTATTTAGGCTAAAATTTCAGAGCTCACAAACACAAAATAAAAGTTGTTTCTCATGCCAAGTAAAAGATAAATTATAAAGATTAGCAGCAAAGTCATTAATATTAGTCATCACTCAGAATGCGAGATACTAGGAAAAAAAATCTACACCCAATAAGCCTCTTTGTAAGTCACAAAACAACTTAGTATCAAAATTTCTACTCAAATGATACCTTTCAGGCAGCGTTCATCAGAGTCTAAGAGATTTCAGTAGATATACGGATTGATATGTTGTGGAGCATCACGCCATTAATTTAAACACAAATTAATAGGATTCCACAGTTTTCAATGGTGATAAATTAAATCTGGGTTCAGATGTTACACATAAGGCGATTTCTCAACTCCCTCCCTTGGGGCATTTTAGGAGTTTATGTTTTCAAATCAAGGAAACAATTATTTTTTAAAAAACAATTAGGAAGGGTAATCATACACTAGCTGAGTTGAGAATTTTTAAACATCATCACCAGCATTACTGGCCATAACCACCACTGTGACAACCCTACTGTAGCTACGGAGTAAGAAAAAGGGAACAGTGTCATTCAATGGTGTCTGTAATCCAAGGTATTTGACCCTGCATTGATTTCAGACAAAAGTGGATTTAGAATTAATCACAGATGATCATGGTCATGACCAAACTCCAGGCATTCAGACTTTTCCCAACAGCTAGGATCACACAGCAAAACCAAAATTTGAAGCAATACTGGGAGCTGTATTAGGCCCAGGCTTAATTCAAAAGCCATCCCAATCATCTCCACAAAAGTCTGCATGCCTTTAAAATCTAAAATTACCGTCAACTTCAGGAAATTCCAAAATTAAAGAATTGTAAATACGTTTCAAGAGTATTTGAAACTTGGAATTGGTAGTGAGACACAGAGGTTTAAAAATAGAATTATATATATATATATATATATATATATATATATATATATATATATATATATATATATAAAATATTTATAAATATTTATTGATTCTTTTTTAATTAAAAAAGATATACTTCCTCGATAGTTAATAATTCACCATTTGGCTTTTCAGGAAGTTACATATTAATCGCACCAATTCCAAATTTGGTATGCTTTATTGACTTTATCTTGTCACTCACCTTCACACACCAAATACCCTAAATAGCCCTCTATACATTTGATAACAGCCCTTATTACCCCCCCCCATCCTTTTCTCTCTCTCATTTGTTGGGCATCAAATGGGCAATTCTGGCATTCCCCACATTCGAACCTTTTTCTTAAATCTTGTGCCCACACCACAAGGTGCAATTTAAAAAACAGAGGAAATCAGTATTTTAAAAAAAAGTTTTAAAAGAACTCAAAAGTTTGACTACCTTTACATTTTGAATTGTTCAAAAAGTTTTACTCACTTTAATTTATTCCTATTTTGGAAAACTCCTTTTAATATCTTACCCCTCCTAACCCACATTATACATTTTATTGCACTCTCTCTTACTTTATCCACAATTTTCTTACACCCACCCACCTTTTAACTCATGCATTACTAGAAACAAGAGTCCGCAGTAAGTGAATCGAAATTTCAGGAACGTACGGGATAAACATTTACTGGGTACTTGTTATCCTCCCCACTCTTAAATTGACACGACTCTAATCCTGGGCACCGTGCTGTGCCGGGCCGCCGCGGGCCGTGCCTGGCGGGCCACGGGCTGGTTCGTGCCGTGCCGGTCGTGCCGGCGGGCCCAGGATTTCGTGCCGTGCCGTGCCGGCCATTTTCACAGGCCAGCCCACGGCACGGCACGGCCCTCGTGCCTGGCGGGCTCGTGCCGTGCCGGCCACGTGCCGGCCTGCGGGCTGGCCTGCGCGGGCTGGTGCAGTTTTCATTTTTTTTTTTTTTTTTTTTTTTTTTTTTTTTTTTTTTTTTTTTTTTTTTAATGACAACATTATAAATTAATAAGTTTATAATGTATATAAGTTATAAAATTATAATTATAAGTTTTATAAGGTAACTTATAAGTTTATAACTTATAAGTTATAAGTTATTAAGTTATGAATTTTATAATTATAAGTTGAATATTTATGTTTTATAATTTGTATATTCAATATTTATATTTATATATTTACTTTATACTATTACTTTAACAATAATAATAATAATAATTAATAACAACAATTTTAACAATAAAAATATCAATAATAATAATTAATAACAACAACTATAACAATAACAATAACAACAAAAATAAATAATAACAACAATTGTAACAATAATAATAGTTAATAACAACAATTATAACAACAACAATAACAATTAACAACAATAATAATTAAACAAGATTATTCTAATAATAACAATAAAACAATAATAAATTTAAGATTAGTTTAGATCTGACAACCGTGCTTCAACGCTCCACTAATTACGATTACGAACTTTTTAATTTTTTCCGATATTAGGAAAATAATTAGAGAATTTAAGAGAATAATTAGAGAATTTAAGAAAATAAGGATTATTAGAGATTTAGAGAATATAAGAGATAAGAAGAAGAGATTGTGATTTTGTGATTTGGGAATGAAATGGAGGTGAGTATTTATAGAATTTTTGGCAAAAAACTAGCCGTTTTATAGCCGTTTTATAGCCGTTTTATAGCCGTTGGCCCGCGGGCCGTGCCTGCGGGCCAGCACGGCGGGCCATGCCCGTGCTCGTGCCGGGCCGTGCCTGGGAATTCTCCACCGTGTCCGTGGCACGGAAGTTGAACTTCGTGCCGTGCCGTGCTTGACTTCGGGCCGTGCCGGGCGGCACGCGGGCCAACCCGGCCCGTGCCCAGGTTTACATGACTCTCTCCCTCCCTGCAAGGCTGCAACATGCCAAAGGCATTGGCGGCCGGAATACATGTAGATGGGCTACCACTCATACAACCAATAGCCCAAACCTTATATATCCTTCCTCTCCATTTGATGCCTCAATATTTAAAACTAGAAATTTGAAAATCGGGCAAATATTAACCCTTCCCACTTGATTTATGTCACCGTGTTTTTCCCCAAGTCATCCGACAAGAGTGCACCCAAGTCATGATGTGTTTTTGCGGGGGGGGGGGGGGGGGGGGGGGGAAAGAGAGGTGCCCAAGCATTACAACATTTAAAAAAATCAAGGGATTGCTAATGCCTACAATAAAGAGCTATTAAATTACTAAAAGTCAAACCCATGGCCTGACCATGAAACTACTAGCCAAAATTATCAAAGACCCAAAGAGTGAATTCCGAATTCTCATTTTGATTCGTGTCTCCATGATAGTGAAGATGCTCCTACATCAAATTTGGAAACTAAATAAACAAAGCTAATTGACCTTCTAATAACAAGTGGATAGTTATTCAACCTTTAGAATATAAAGAAACTCTTAAGTCACTAAATGTGAACCTCATCCAGTTTTCCACAATAAACAAAGTCACAATACACTAAAGCCATCTACGAATCTGTTCCTAGATCCTGTCTAATCAGAAGGCCAAGTAAGCATGAAATAAATGCTCTTGGCTGCTCCATCAACTGTAACCAGATAAAGCTCCTATTTAGAAATTGTATATTTTACATTTTCGGGTCTTCCTTGGGTCCTTCCTAATTTTCACTCCTTGTACAGCAACCAAATACACCATATGGAATCACCCTAAATGTCTTCAGTGCTACTACTTTTTTTGAAAAAGCATGTTTACAAACTACATGTAGAGCCGGAAAGCCTAGAACTCATCTCAAAACTAATCATTCTATCAATAATAATGTATAGATCTCTCATAGTCCTGAGAACAGAACCTAGTGGCAAATGGCCAAGATTTCCAGATTGGTACAGAATGAAATATTGAAAATATAGATTAGACTAAAGCTTGAAAATAGGCATGTTGAGTAAGGTTTAAGATTGAGAATGTCATTGTACTGATAATGAACAGGCTGAAACTAAAATATTAATCGACCCAATCCATAACACATGTATGAGTAGGAAAATTCAATTTTGATTCAAAGAATGTGTTGATAGTCCCAGACCAAACCCGCTCTTTCCAGTTCAGTTCAAGTCAGGTTCTCGATATGGTCAACATTTTCCAAACTTTCCAATGCACCCCAATTACAGAAAACCTGCCATATTATACCCACAATCCAAACCATAGTTACAGGTATAGTGACCAACAGACCTATTAATATATCAGTACATATCTTTACAATGAAGATAATTTATCCATGTAGCAAGTCAACGCAATTAGTTAGTAAAAAAAAGATCAAAGTCCACATAAGAGTCAAAATTCAATAATACTCGGAGCTACCTCATTTAAAGTTTCATTAAGATGAGGTGCAAAGGCTTCCCGATAAGAGACAGCTTTTCTGAGACGTTTCCCCCTACCTAGAGAAGCTTCCTCTTCATACTGATATCTTTCCCACCTGGCATTAGACCAAAGAACTCAATAAAAAGTTTGACTATTATACAAAGTTACAAAATAGAAATTAGTCGCCCCCCCCCCCCCCTTCCAACACAGAGACGCAACAAAAAGTCAAAAAGAACCCCCTAAACAGTTGTGGTTTCTGGAAGTGTTTTCTCTATTCTCTGACTGTTTTTGTTGTTCAACCAATCAAATAAAAACCATTTTATTTTTAATCAGCAGTAGTGTTAGACTTCATTATCATCATTTGTCAATCACACAAGACTAGATGTAGTTTACCAGCTAGCTTTTTGCTGTTTAAGTTGTGGTAGAGATGATTATGTATGGCACAATGGTTTCACATTTAGATAAAGGTTTTCCCTTATTAGCACATAAATTGGCACAAGGGTAACTCCTGGTTTCCATATAAAATCATCAACTGAGAAGAGGAATGCTTTAAAGGCAGGTTAAGTAACGTATAAAAGGACTTACGGGAGAAGCTTCCTAATCACCCACACACCTCCCAGAATCCTACACCTCACATAATTGAGGAATCAAACCTAGCCAAGGTAAGCACATCTATATCCAAATCATGGGATTTTTCCAATGCAAATATTTCTTTAGTGGAACCATTTGAATCCTTATTGTGGAAATTTATTCAACTGCATAACCCCTTGCTTTGTGCTAGATTACTTAGCTTAGCTCTCCTATTTGAGATATTCTCGTGAACTAATAAATTAACTTCATAATTCGGATTTCATTCAAACTAGCAACTTTCAATTTTGGGATTGGAGAGGGAGGATAGGGGTAGCAGCACTTGCCATGGCACAAATACACAGCCATGACGTTGTGGTTCACCCAAAATCATACAAACTGAAATTTACTGAAATGAATTAATCAGTTTCAAGATGTTTCAAAACCTCGTGATTTTGTACGAATCAAACGTTCCAACCCCAAATCACCCACAATCAAAGTTAAAGCTTGTGTTTCACTCAAATGTTACATGCTATTTAAAAAAACATTGGAAGATTCTTCATGTCTCCCCAATAATTGCTCTAGGCTTCTAATTGTCCGCTTCAACTACTATAATAGCATACAGTATAATAAAATTCAAAGACTTTGAAACCAAATTCGTGTTGAGACGCAATCTATGATAACCCCATCATTTTCTTTCTCGCGAGCATGACTAGAACCATAATTTTGAACCACGGCTCTTACTCAAAAAAATCATGTTTCCCATGCAGATGGTAGAATTCCATTTTCTTTAAATATATCCTATACATTAAACGTGTTTTTCAATCGGTTACCAAAACATTTAAAAAATTAATATAAGGCCTGGGCACTTTTGCATGAATCAAGTTATCCACATATCCGATATAGAAATATAAAAATTATAGGCAATTGTCATGCTAATTTAACATGCCTATAGAATCTATGGCTTGGTCAACATATAGCTTATCAGGAAAGAGGTTCCAGATTCCAATGGTATCCATTACATTGAATGAGACAAGAAAAGTAGCAGCAAGATTATATAGGAAAAGCACATGAAACAAGATTTTGCACAGATAATAGGTCATCAATAAATATTTAACATAATACACAGTGAATGCTCACCTCACACGCAGAAGCCTATCCCATTCGTTTTCTTCTGTAACACTGACATCTTCCTTTTTCTCAGAACTAGGCGCAGAAGCATCATCTGTGATAACTATAGGTGTTTCAACTTTTCCTTCCTCATCCACTGGTTCATCCCCCCATTCCACAGACTGCTTCAAATATGGTTACAACATGTGAGAATGATTAATAGATAAGCTTTTTAAATAAAAAGCAACAAAAGTACTAGGGATGAAAACAATAAGCCAAAGAAAATTCAAATTAGATCCAGCTTACACTAAACAAAGTATAATAAAGAACCCAATCATGATGATTTAGCCTTTGATCTTTTCCCGGGGTGTGCATAGGAGGTTAGGTAAGGTGGCAAAGATAGAGTCAGCAAAAACTTGATATAGAGCTTAGAATTACCTTTTGGTCTTTACCTTCAACCTCTAACACAAAAAAGAATAGTTTCCTGTTTATTTAGAGGCCAAGACCCACAAAATCTAGATCAACTGTGAAATATAATGTCACAACTTTGAAATCATCACATCTAAAGGTCTACACTGAATGTAAAAACCATATTAGAAACTATATACCCTTTCTCCATCACAAGTCAGAAGCCACTGTCTCTCTTTAGAAATTGGAATGTAACAAGAACTCTTTACACTATTGTCTAGAGTATTATCTCATATACTAGTTAACATGCAATCCTTCACATAAAGAATTTTCTTCAAAACTATACCATTAAAAGCTGAGACTATATCCAATTTCCTCTGTTTACTTTTTTTATGGTGCAAGGAAAACAACAGCTATTAATCATATTCAAATTTCTAAGATTCTCAAATCAGCATGTAATAGCATGGCTATCACTGGACACAATAACCAAATCAACTTTTCAAAAATGTCGAAAACGGATCGTTTTTACATTTATATGAATAAATTCTAATAATAATTATGATAATTAAATAATGAATTTAATGGAACCTCCTCCCTTCTTTGTTACTAAGGCACTGCCAAACTGCTAACACTAGCTAACAGCAAATAGAGTAGAAGTCCCTCCACCAAACACAATTCTGCTCATGATATAAAACCTGACATATTGATGAGAAGTCACATTGCCAAACCCGTTCTATTCATGGTATAATTTCTTGACAGAATCAACAGATCGTGACCACATTGTAAGGTTTCTGAGCTAACTGTGATCAAGATACAAGGACAAGGCTACAACGGCCACAAACCATCCACATTGCACGTAAAAGTGGTTCCATCCAATATAAACAACCATGTGTCCGCTAAAAAAAGATTGATTGAAGGTACTGCCAATACTAGTTGAGCAAAGTCAGCAAACAACGTAAAAAGCAGCCCCCCTCACATAGCCTCTGATTTAACTTTCATCAGCCAAACACCCCAAAAGATAGCCATCGCTATATTTCACCAAAGTGGCTTCTCTCTTTCCCCCAACCAAACCTCAAAATCTGAATCTACCACTTTTGAATTTTCTCTTTATACATCGTAAATATTCTACTCCAAAGTTATCTAGCAGTTTTGAAATAAAGGAATAGTGTGAGCACAACTCATACAAGCTCGGCAAATGAAACATATAACAGATGAGATAGGCAACCTTGGCCCATGTTTTTGAAGCATATCATTCATTTTGAGCCTACCCAAAGCTAGCATTCACACAAAGCTCTCAGCTTAAGAGTGACTTTTGCTTTCCAAACGAAATTTTATAGTGTAAAGATACTTAAACAGCAGGGGGAGGGGGGTTATTTACATGAAGATACCATGAATATTCAACAACCAAACACTAATATACTACTATATATTGAATTTTTACCCACCCAACCCACTCAATTTTTCTCTCTCTACTCCATGCCACATGTGATGTGGGGCCCCCACTAACGCTCTCAATCAATATTTCATTCATACTTGCTAAACTATATGCCTTCAAATATTAAAGTACCTACAATAATCAGCTAATTACTCTTATACATATGTTCTGTTTCCCCATTGTATAAATACTTTTTAGGTGATTAATGATATCTACTTACTTTACCCAAACAAATATCGGAAAAAAACTGGTAAAAATAATCCCAACTTTAAGCCATTCGCTTTTAAAATAATCCGAACTGTTTCTTCAAAGACAAAATTAAAAAATAAAATAAAATAATCCGAACTGTGTGAGGTATTCGCTTTCGTTGGTCCTAGATGACCAGTTACCGGATGAAAATTTTTATTTTTTTTCCTTAGTTTGACCCCCTTTGACCACCCTTTCTGGCACCTTTTCCTTCCCCTTCCCCCTTTCCAGTAGCCTTTCCTTTTCCCCTAGTCCTTTCCCTTCTGCCACCATATATCCCTCATCTACCCTCTATCCTTTCTCACATCTCTTTCTCTCTCCTCTTCGATTCATTGTTTCTCCGGTGGGGAAGGGATGGGAGAGGCTTTTGGTGATGGGGGATGGGGAGGAGGGAGGATTTGGTGGTAATCGAAGGGGGGAGGGTTATCGGCGATGGGGGACGGGAGGGGGAGGGTTTCGATGGTGGAGGAAGGGGAGGGGAGGAGGTTGGGGAAGGGGGACGGTGGTGGCTGAGGAAGGGAGTGAGTGCTCAGCTGGGTTAGGGAGGATTTTAAAAAAAAAATTACCCAATTAGGGGTTGACGCATTTCCGGGTGACCTAAAAGAACACCAAAAGTTCGGATTATCTGATGACACAAAGTTTGGATCATTAAAAGTGAATAGTCAAAAGTTGGGATTATTTCACCAATATTTCCGGAAAAAAACAAAAACAATATTCAAAGGGTACAGCAATCTCTCACAAAAGAAAACTTCCAACTGCTAAGGCTACAAAGAAAGAAGCATCATACTACCAATAACTTATCGCAAACTGAATTAAAATTTAAATCTCCCATAAACCTAATAATCTAATGATAACAAGTATGATAAATCATTTACCTCAACTGTAAGCACTGAAAATTCATAAAATTACATAACATATTCATGTGACATACCTTTACTGAGCCAAGCACATCAGTTTCTGCATCTGCTTCAGCATTATCTAGTGGTCCAGATTGAAGGTTCGAACGGTCAAGCAGTTTCAAGATGGCATTCTCATCCCAAATTATCTTGCTACTTACTTCCGTACATTTATCTTGGTAAACATCTCCGAGGCCACCAATTCTTCTCTTACTTCTTTGATCTGTTTCTGGAACAGTTTCGTCCTTGTTCATATCATTTTCACCAATGATCTTTCCAGTAGAATCACTAAATAGTTCTTCAGTTCCCCAACGCAATATGTCTTCCACCTCCTTTGGAGATCCAGACTTATTTACAAAAAGCTGATCCAGCATTAGCTTTTTCTTTGCTAGCTGCAAGATACGTTCCTCAACACTTGCACGAACTACAAGCCTATACACCAAAAGTCTTTTCGATTGTCCGATTCGATGAGCACGATTCATTGCTTGAATGTCTGCATGAGGATTAAAATCTGAGTCATAAATTATTACAGTGTCAGCGGTTGCCAAATTGATTCCAAGGCCGCAAGACCTTGTTGACAGCAAGAATACAAATCGACTTTTATCCTGATTGAAGCGTGCAATTGCTGCCTGACGATCAGCTACTGAAACAGAGCCGTCAACTCTCTCAAATGATTTGGACCCAAATTCAACATTCAGATAATCTTCTAGAATATCTAGAAGCTTTGTCATCTGCGAAAATATCAGAACTCTATGGCCTTCTATATGTAATAATTTCAGCATAGAGTGCAAGACAGTTAGCTTAGCTGAAGCCTTTATCCTCATTTCGTGAAGGAACTCTACTGATCCAGTATCAGGTTCTGTGCCAGGGATAAGATAAGGATGGTTGCAAACTTTTCGCAATTGCATGACTATGTTAAGCATTGATTGCTGAGGAACTCCCTTCCCAATATTCCTTAAGATCTGATAGTTCTTTGTTAACATTGCACGGTAATATTCAGCCTGAATAGAAGACAGCTCAACAGGGACCATTCTTTCAATCTTAGGTGGAATATTCTGCATTGCATCTTTCTTCAGCCTTCTGAGCATATGAGGAGCAACAAGTTTCTTGAGTTCCTCCACCCTGTCAGCGTCAGAGAGATCCGTAAATTTTTCCTCAAATGATGACAGAGAAGGGAATGAAGCTGAATGCAGAAAGTTAAGTAAGTTGTACAGCTCTCCTATGTTGTTTTGAAGAGGGGTCCCAGTCAATAGAACACGATGCTGGAAGGAAAAAAAATTTAGCAAGCTAAAAAGCTTACTACTAGAATTCTTAAGACGATGCCCTTCATCAACAATAAGAACTTCCCAAGGAATTCCTCGTAAATGAGAGGAATCAGCAAGAATCATCTCATAAGTAGTCAGAAGAACATTAAATTTGTAGGCTGCACTTTTCTTATTCAAATCATCTGGATATCTTGCATGCCACTCATATTGACGAATTAAAGTTCTTCCTTTAACGTTTCCATGATACTCCACCACATTCAAGTCTGGAGCCCATGACGAGAACTCTGCCATCCAGTTTGGCATTGTGGAAAGAGGCACCAAGACAAGACAAGGAAGCTTTACTTTAAACTCAAAGTATAAGGATGTCATGAAGGCACAAGCAGATACTGTTTTCCCAAGGCCCATCTCATCAGCAAGAATAACATTTTTAGATCTATGCCAACATTTGCGCAACCAATTTAAAGCTTCTAGCTGGTGTGGAAAGAGTGAACCACCTTTGAGTTCCTCAGGCTGCTCAGATAGAGGGACAACCTCATTTTGTTGAAAACCACCTTTCCAAGAAATAGAGTCTTTTTCAGCATCTTTCTCCAGTGTTTGGCACTCAAACCGTTTGAATTGATCAATCAACTGCAAAGAGTTTTGGATTGTAGGCTCATCTGTCCTTTCCCAAGTGCATTCATCATAAGGGAGGCCCAACCATTTAATAAAAGCTTCAGTTCTGCCCCCTTTAGATGACCGAAGTGCTATCACCCGCTGGGGCTGTTTCCATCTTTCCTCACAGAGATTCATAGCAGCAGTTCCATACTTTGTCTTGTAGTTATCTAGCTTTCTTTTGGCCAAACCTTTCAGCCTGGACTCAGGAATCCAGCTATTATGAATATGAGACTTTCCAACCCATTTAACTAAGAATTCATAAGAGACATGTTCTCCATCAAAATTTGTTTCCATCAAAATTGGCTCTGAGGCCTTTTTTTCGTACTTTCCATCATCTACAACTGAATTTCTTGCCACTGTTTGGTCTTCTAACAATTGAGGTACATGCGAATTTTCATTTGAAAAATGAGATTTGCATTTATCTTCACCAGTAACAATGCTAGAACCTAACTCTTTCCCTACCTCAGCCACCCTATTTTCTGGGTTGCAATCCTTAGACACAGTTCTCTTATATACCTGTAATGTATCTCCTGAACAATCATCGACAAGACACCCCTCAGTTGTCTGGCAAAGCGCCGCAGAAGGATTTTCGGGATAATCTTCTACCAGATCAGAAACAGCTTTATGGTCTGCGTTGCACATTCGATCTTTAGAATTTTGTGGTTCACCTACCAATATATCACTTGGCTTTAACTCAGAATTTTGACAATGTGGAGGTGTTTTATCTTCCTGCAATCTACATCCCAGGACTCTATCAACCTGTAATATTGATATTATAAACAAGCAGAGTATCAACCACAGCAATTCAATAAAATTTCTGTAACATTTTTTTTTTTTTTTTTTTTTTGTTGGGTCTTTTGAAAGGACATTACAGAACAACATAGAGCAAACACAAAATATCTGAAAATTTTGAGAAACTTTAGATAGCTGTATACTTGTAATGCTTCTTCAAAAGAGTTATCATCAGATGATAGTAACTTATCAGGCCTGGTGTCCTCTTTTGTTGACAAACCTTCTTCTTCCTGAGGACTTACCTGCACCGAAGAGAATTAATCAACCAAAGAAAGCTATATTGCTGATGAAGGGCAAGCAAAAGGAGAAAGATGTAATAAAACTAAGAATTCCCATCTCAGAATCAAAATAGGGAGCATACGCAATATATGCTATAGCCAGAAAGGAAATAAAACAAGTAACCAACCACAAGCTTGCTATACCATATAGAGAAAAAAAAAATGATTACTTCATCGACTCCTTTTATTTTCTCACATTTTTTCAGGTTTCTCCCAATATTTCAAAAAAAAAGAGAGCAATCTAAAAGATTATAAACTATGTCAATGCCAGATACTAATAAAATCTTTCTTATATCAAAACACCTAATCCAAAACAAATATAACCACACAAAAAAAGACAAGATCTAAGAAAGAATTTTTAAATTAAAATTTCCAGCAAGTTACAGCATCAGCTGATGGTACAAGAAGTCAGACCAAAAATACTCAGAAGTAATGAAAAGAAACCAAAAGGTTCAACCATTCAGCAAACGGAAATGCAACAAACAACCTCATTAGGACCAACAAACCATGACATAAGTCACATAACCATCAATTGCAGATGGATAACAAGGAAACAAAATAAGAAACAAACAATATGAAAGTTGGATGAAGTCTAATGCTACACCCAGAAACCCAAGGCATGTGCATGGGATTCTAGGACCATTCTGAGCTATTTTCCTTGATACCTCAATAATATCTGTTTTATTTACGGTGCCCAACTTCCATATGATATCTTTTACAAGAGTCAAGTTCAAATTGATTGCAAAATTAAAATGAAAAATCGTGAGTAACAAATGATGTAAGAGCTTCTGGATGCAACATTTTTCTTGTCTCACTCCAAGACCTAATTTCTTAAGGTCTAATAAACTTCTTTATCAACTTCACTTTAACATTGCATATCCGCACTCCTTGATCCACTATAAAAGGTATTGTGAGAACCAATTAAATCAGAGGATTACAGTAATGTCTCAGCAGTATTTTTAAAGGATCATTGGATTTGTAGTAGTAATACTACTGAAGTAAAACAAAGATAGAAGTGATGATCTTTCACCAGATCATTGGATAATACTACCTCCTTTTTTTTTAGTTGACACGTATTCCTTTTTTGGAAGTTTTTTTTAGTTGGCACGTTTCCATTTTGGGCATATTTTCTATGGTAAATGGTCAACTATACCCTTATTCTTTTCTCTCCTGCTCATATTTGATTATTAGACCAATCTCTCTCCTCTCTCCTCTCTCTCTCACCTGACCTAATAAACAGACCACCCACATCATAGTATCGTATCTCATTCCTCACCACCACCATCACCACAACCACCACCACCACTTGTTAGTCGTCACCTCTTTCTCTCTCCTCCCTCCACCTTCAACACATTAAAAACCCTCCAATCATCGAACCCGCTAGATTAAGATCTGGATTCCATCAATCACATCATTCCTCTTACGATTCCGTTGGATGGACAAGTAATTTCATCCCCACATAACAAACTAACAAAGTGTAGATATGGGATTCTTTGTTTCAACTTTTTTAATTAAATTACTGGAACCTTGATTGTAGCATCATATTTGTCATCCTTCGTTGCCGTCGTCTACTTTTTCTAGTATTTGAGAATTGAGATCTAAAGCCCCTAAAGGTAGTAGCAATGATTGGCTGTGAATGCTTTTGGATTTTTAGATATTTATTAAGGTTGAGTAATGTTGTGGGTTTTATGTGATGAAGGTAGTGACAAAGGCGAGGCGGTGCCGGAGAAGTATATCTGGCTGATCTGGATGGTGATGATGGTGGTGGTGGAGTAGAATTAGTAGATAAAGGTGGGGTGGAGTTGGGGTGGGCTGGTGGTGGCTCATAAGGCTGAGCGGTACATGGAGGAAGGAAAGGGTAGCTTAAGTAGAGGTATTATTGTCTTTCACATGTCTATCTCACTTCTCCTAAATAAGTGTGCCTAAATTGAACGTGTCAACTAAATACAAATGGAGGAGTAATGATCAACAACCCACACAAAAACTGCAATAGTAAATTTAGGATGAAAAAGATACCTCTCAATCTCCCTTAGAAAGGGATTTGATGAGAAGTCAGGTTCTTTGGTACCAGAATGTTATGTAATTGATGATCTTTCACCTGATTAACGGATAATAATGACCAAAAATCCATACATAAACTGCAATAGTACATGTGGGATGGCAAAGATTCCTCTCAATCTTTCTATGGTACCAGTGAGTTATAAAACGGAAGTTAGTATCTACCAGAAACCTATTGTCATTAACTATAACAAGCTGTTTCTCATATTCCTACTTTTTAATAAATACAGCACCAAAATTCAACAATGAAATTATAAACAAACGTAGTAAACCCTACATTGAAAAAGAAAAAAAAAATTAATAAGTAATGAAAGAAACATGAAAATAAAATAAGGGCCCTTTTACCTCTCCTAACTCCTAAGCTATCTTGAAAAGAAATAAAAATGAATATATCACAGAATATTATAAAAATAGTATGTAAAAATGTAACCATAATTCTATAAATATCATTATTCTTAAAAAAATGGATGGTTATGGTACCTCCTCTAGCTGACTTTCTATCTTTTCTGTTACAGCATTCTCCTGCGAAAGGGAAATTCTGTGATGAACAGATCGACGTTTTCTCTGTGGCTTATTAATCTTTGGAGAAGGAAAATGTGAATTTGATTTATTCTTCTGGCCATTGTTTGCAGGATTCTCCACAACAGATATTTTAGATTTTTTCTTGTTACCACCCTTATGAGGTTTATGTTTTCTTTTCCGAGCATCAATAACAACCCCTATTGCAGTTGCAGTATTCTTTGCAGTGCACTGAATATTGTTAGAGATATCATCACTTCCACTGGAAGTTTTATTCTTCAGCTCTAAATTAGTATGCATAGGAAGGGACATTTTATGTTCCATCAAACAGTTAGACTTCCTGTTAGCTGCTGATGACTCAGATACCTTTTCAATATCCTTGGTTGCTGTATGAAGTTTCCTTTCACCAACTGCACTTTCACATGGCAAGGAAACACCCACAGAACCAAGTCCAATATTGCTACAGCTTGACCCATCAGTTCTTGAAGATTCTAGCTTCCTTAGAGACTGGCTTCTGTCACATAAAACCGATTTTCTTTTGGTAGAAGATCTTTTTTTACCAATGGACCTCCCAAGAAACTGAGACACTTTGAGGGTACCAGAAGGCTTGTCGCCATCCTTTAGTTTCTGAGATAGATTGATTGTCCTAGATCGTTTTGGCATGAAATCTTGGGGGCTGACAGAATCTGATGAATCAACTTTCTGCAAACAGGAGGGACACCGCCACTTCCCATTTGGAATATCCTGAAGATAATAAGCAAAGTAAGAGAGCAAGGAGATAAGTAGAGAAAGATAATTATAGGAAAAGGGGAAGAAGAAAGGAAAAAAAAACAATTCAGAAATTTACAATGCATTTGACAGGATACAAAACAAATGATCGGTGACGTAATAGTTCAACTTACAAATACCTTAAGAGGCGGATCAAGGCATTCAAGATGGTAGGTTCTTGGACAGCTATCACAGCACAGCAACCTCCCTCCGAGATCACAGATTACACATTCATAAAAATACTGGACAAAAAGATGAACAAGTTAACTCATATTTATAGCCCCAACCAATAGGAAGAGAGGACAGAGTAACAAAGAAGAGAGAAAAGCCATTGCAGCATAAACATGCAAATCAATAATTTCAAATAAGATACGCGAATCTTCCATCTTTCCATGTGTATTTTATTAAGAACATAAGAAGTTACATTCCAGGAATACATTTTGCCAATACATAGAACCAGGAAAAATATGTCACCTACTATATAAAACCAGTAGAAAATCAAAACTTTTGATGTTCACTGATTAGCATTTGCAAATGCACATTCACACATGCAACCTAAGAAAATACCACCCTATTACCTATCAAAATGCTTTTTATAAAAACCATAAGCCTCGTGCATATTCTTTAACCTAAAGTATGACTCTCAACATACATAAGCAGCTGGTTTCTGGTGAAATTTTTCTTTTTTTTTCTTTTGGCAAATAGAAATTTTATTACCAAAATGGACAAGTTACAAACACCGAGAGTTAATCCTTTGGATTACTTATCTTTCATATATTCAAAATATGAAAAACGGCAAGGATGATTATACCTACCCAAAAATCAGCTGCTTAAAATTTGAGAGCCTTAGCTCCCTTTCACAAGACATTACCTTCCTTGAACATCAAAAAAACAAACATTGCTACTTAGTTTGCTAGTACAAGATATGGTACGGGAACAATGTGCTACCTGAGTTCATAAATTACACCAGATTATACAACTTTCATGTAATACGTACTAATTTGCCTTTTTCAATCCACGGGAGAGTTTGCAAATTAGGTAACTAAAAGATAAACCTTTAATGAGGCATTTTTTAAAAGTAACGGCAGATGAGCCAGCTAAATTGAAGTGATGCCACCAGTTTAAATTCATTCAAGAAAATTGGACAGATCAACAAATGGAGTTAATTCGGCATATTAGTCACCAATAGTACATTACCACTTCAACAGGAAATAATATCTTTAAAATCTAAGATTTGATAGACCCATTTACATTTCTACTTTACTATCTAGGTATTTATTGCAAATACACTAACAAGGATTAATAATATACCCCATCATTTCCTCTTCTCTTTGCCTTTGCCCGTTCAAGTTTTGTTTCGGTATCCAACAAGTCTTTTGTCGAGCAAGAAACTTGAGCAGATTTGGTCGCCAATCCCTCCCCTTTATCCTTCCTAACAGATACATCTGGTCCATACGGAAGTTTCTTACGCTTGCGTTTCGAAACCCAATTTCTACTAATCACATTACTAGGTGCTGAACCCTTTTCCTTCATCTTCAACCCTCAAATGCAGCATTTATAAAAGCAATGCCGGTGGTAATTTGAAATTTATAGTAGCTTCTTCTGTTTCTAGCAGGAATAACACAGGCAAAGGTGATGTATCAGTAATCAGAAACATCCGATTTTTCGGCCCGTGCATATCTTCCAGCATCAGGCTCGTCCCTGAGCAAGGACAGGAGGGGCAGCTGCCCTGAGCCCAGGGAGAAAAGAGCCATTTTCATGGCTTAGTCCTGACATTAAAGGGTTACTACATAAACAAAATCCTGCAACACATTAGCAACCAAAGTTGACTCAATTATCAAACTAAGCTCCAAAATTTATGTTAAATTCTTCTCGCATATGTTTCAGAATAAAAAAATTCTAGCAATCATTCACAACTTCAGAATTTATAACCAATAATTCACCTTTGAAGAACCCTAAAATTGAGTATACTGACAATGAAATCGACGATTGACACTATACTGTGAAATTGATATTCAACGATTTATAAATTAAATTCATCTTACCTCATAAGCTGCTTCAATGGAGGAGAGAAAGCTTGCAACTCACTTCAATGGAGAATTCGGAGTACGGTACAATGGAGGAGAGAGAGAGGGGAGAGGAAGAGGAAGAGGAAGAGGTGCAGCAAGGCAGCGCAAACGTGTAAAAGCTCTAAAAGGGGGAAAAAGAAAATAATATATACGCATATTATATTGTCAAAATACTTAAAACTACAAATGTACCAAAACTTGATCCCACCTCAAAATCTTTTACTTCCTCTGTTTGTATTTAGCGAAATGTATGTGTATTGTGTATTGTGTAATGTGTTACTCTTAAGTCTTATAATATGACTAGTTTATGTCTCATACAATGTATGGTTATACAAAATTTAGAGGGCATTGTAATTCAATCACTTTTTATTTTACAACAAAAAAATAAAAAAATTAATGATTGTAAGGAAATCAAATACCTTAATCAAATTTAATTAGTCATAGGTGATATAGCTCATGATCGACTTTATGAATCACAAATTGGCACAACCTATAACATTAATAAAAAAATTATTAAATAAAGAGACTTTGTAAAACATATAAAAGAAATTAATTAAAAAGCTGTGGAATTCTAGTATCGTTCAAAATTAATAGTCTATGTAAAAATCTATAAGGTTTATTTTATTTATAAGATGTATCTATGTCGATTAGAGGTGATCATAATTTCATTCATAAATAGCATGTCTCGCTAGCACGATCCAACCCATGTAAAAAAATGTGTGTTTAAATAACTTTAAATCATCGTCAATATTCCAACGCAACACCAACAAGCACGGTCAAATTTTGTATGTTTGTGCATAGTTATATTTTATGGTAGATAAAAGAATATTAGCATATTTATTTTGATATATGTTTAAGAAATGTTATAGTTGTTATTTTTTTTCTTTTGATTATTAAAAGGATATATATTTTTGTATAATTATACAAAAGAACTACAAATAAGAATGATTAAAAAATCTTCTCTCCCCTCCTTCCTCTCTTCTCTAGGGTTTTTAGTTTTCTGGGTCGTTTAGGTCGAAAATAGTCTAATTTCCTTTTTCTTCAGTTTAATTAAGTTTTTTGCTTGGTTTGTTTGATTTTCTTAGCTTTGTTCTTTTCCAAATTGAATTCTAATTTTTTTTCAAATTGAATTCTAATTTTTTTTATCACTTTAACTCTCTTTTTCCCTATAAATAAAGGTCGTTTTCCCCATTTTCAAATCAGCTAGAACCATCAATTATAAGCTATAACCACCCAGCTCCAATCATCATTAATCATCCATGTTCTTAGCCTAAACACATCCTTGAGACATCAAAATTGGAGGTGATCAAAATTTCGGGTCGGGCCGGGCCTTAATATAGTATATCATGCCCAAACCCGCAAAAAGTAGCGGGCTTTCGGGCCAAATTGGGCTTTTTGAGCTTTTTCTGGGTCGGGTTCGGGTTTTAAACTAGAAATGCGTTTTTATGCTTGCCCAAACCCGCCCAATTTTGATCACCTCTAATCTAAATCATCCACAATACCTCCTTCGCGAGATTCGAAAATTCCAAATTAAACCATACTCAACGTTGCCTTCGACCTCGACGTGAAAGGTTGATAATTCTGAGGGTTTGGTCCCAAATCTATATTTCAATTCATATTTGATTTATCTACTTTATTGATTTAACTTTCTTGAAGTTTACTAATGTGTGTATTGATTTATAGCAAGTAAGTTGAGGCATCAAAGTAAGTAATTCGATTACTTAATTAGTCTTTTGGTTTTGGAGTAGAAATCATGATGAGGATGTTATTTTGATTTCTAGTATCATGTTTAGGATGTTGATTTAAATGGCTAGTATCATGTTTAGAATAACGCTTTGATTTTGTTATTAGTGACATGCTAGGATTTGTTATTAATTCACTTAGTATCATGCTTAGGATCTTACTATCAACACTGTTCGATGATATTTTTTTGATGATGATTATTGTGTTAATTATATGTTGCTTGATTATTCATGATTTATTGCTATTGCTTGATCACACCCCTTTTTGCAGGTTTAAAGGGAATTTGTACTTGAAATCACGTCTAATAAGATAATTAATAATTGAATTTAGGCTTAACATGACTTTAATTCAAGTGATCACCAATAATAGATTTATTTGTGCATTGATTAAACATGTTTAGGATTAAGATGATGTATGCATATTTGATCAAAGTGCACATGGATATCATAAAAATTAAGTAGAGGCCTATTTAGGGCAGGTTCAATCTCTTTTAAGTTGGATTCGTACCACCATCCCCGAACATATAGTCATGGTTTCGGACCACTATCCGTGATCGTGAATGGGGTGTAAGTGTGTAACCTTCACACCTGTGAACAGTATATAAGTTCCTAAAACTTGTTGGCAACTCTTTTTCTCTAGCTTCTTTTCCTTGGAACGCCGCCATGCCTAAAAGCATGAACCACAGTAGGGCTCAAGATGAGTTTGAAAAATTCTCTACATAGGGTTCTGATAATAATTGGGAAGGTGATTTGGATTCACATGGATTTAGGGTTTGTTATCAACTCTACGATCAAAACATCAGCGCAGATTGCGAAGGTCTCTACTTGGAAAGATGGAAAGACATCAAAAATCACTGTTCGCCTCAACGTTGAAGCGGTGGAGTGTGAGCTATGCCAAATATGCAAATTAGTTATGATTTGATTATAAAAGTTATGTTTATTTATCTATATTTGTGGTTTATAAATCTTTATTTTTATTGTAGATGACGTATAGATATTTATAATGATATTATTTCTTCCCGTAAAAAAAAAGAATGATTAAAAAATGATTACAATTTATTTAAAAAAAATGATTGCAATTGCACTGAAAGTTATCTAGGAAAACGCTAGGGATTAGCCCCTCGTGTGCAGAAAAAAAAATATAATCTAGGAAAACGACTAGAAAAAAACAAGATTACTAATATACTACTTCCTCCGGTTTTTTTAGTTGACACGTTTCTTTAGGCATGTTTGCTAATGCACAAATTCAACCATTCATATCTTTAATTTCCGATAAGCAAAAATGATAAAAAGTTGATATTTAGAAAATATATATCGTGGCGATTCTAACAAGATCTCACATCACTATATTTTTTTATTACATATAAATCACAAACCACGGTCAAAGAAAAGTGTGTGAATATTGCTAAAGTCAAAACGTGTCAACTAAAAAAAACGGAGGTAGTATTAACCAAATTTATTAAAATTTGGAGAAAAATAAATTCAAATCTTGAATCATAGGTAACAATAGGAAATAATTAGATTCTAGCCAAACACAATAAAACTTTCCTAGAAAAGAGCTAGATAAAAAATAAAAAAAATAAAAAGAAAAAGAAAAAAAGACATTGGAGAGAAAATTTTGCACCTCAATTCCTAGTGTTTGTTTTAGTACGGAGTATTAGAGGCCGTTTGGTTTGCACGGGGTAAACGAAATGGAATGAACAAAGGGAATGAAATGGAATGGAATGAAAATCCCTCAAATGTAGTATGTTGTTTGGTTGTAAAAAAACAATGTGAATCACTAGATTCACCACCACCACACCCACACACCCTCACCGCGTTTCGAAGGCTGTGGTGGCTGGACGCAACCCTAACCCCCATCCCTACCCCTTGCCGCCAATCCCTAACCCCTCGCCGCTCAGACCTAACCCCTTCAACTACACGGTGTTCGACTTAGAAGGGTTTCTAGGGTCGGGGTGGCATTTTCGAGGAGAGGGGGTGGCGTTTTCAAGGGCTATGCGTGGGTTTGGGGAAGTTTTCCAGGGAGGGAAGGTAGTTTCAGGGGGCGGCGAAGGGTTAGGGAGGGGCGGTGAGTAGTGCGACGTGGGGATGGTCAGGATTAGGGAATTATTTCAAGGGAGTTGAGGGGATGGCCGACGAGGGGTGGGGGAGGTGCGGCGAAGGGTAGGCGGTGGTGCGGTGGTGCAGTTTTCCGGTGATGTGGGTAGGTAGGAGGGTGGTGGTATGGTGGTGTGGTGGTGGCCAAGGAATGGAATGGAAATACCTTGGGGGGGTGGGGAATGAACTTGGAGGGATTTAGGGGAATGAAGGGGGAAAGAGGAAATGGAAAAGTGGCCTAACAAACAACAACAAAGGGAATGATTCCCGTCGATTCCCATTCCCTTTGTTGAATACCCCAACCAAACGACCCCTTATTTTATTGATTTATATCTACGGAATGTTATAACTCCCTCTATTTCATAATAATCGCAATACTTTTATTGTACACCCGCTTTATAATAACTGCAACATATCCTTATTTAGAAAGAGCACACTATTATTTTATTGTTCTCTCTCCTACTACAATTCGTTTTCCATGCCCCCCTCGGTTTACACTAACTTTAATGTAAATCCATGACTTAGCACGTGTGAGAGAAAAATTAAATAATTTTTTTTCAAAACTTGAACAAAAAAAATAAAAAGGTAACAATGGAAGAGAGAGAAAGTGAGAACATGTAAAGCGAAAGTGAAAAAGGGAACATCATACCTAGATTCTTCTATTGTCGATAGCGAAATCATCAAATCAATTGAATACCTCAAATTGCAAGAAAATCTAATGCTCAAATTATTACAAATGCAGCGACAAATTCAAACTTCATTGATGAATAATATGGAAAACTTGAACTCTTTTGTTGAAATCAACGTAAATCATACTATTATAGAAGACGCAACAAAGAGTTTTGGAGATGAAATCATTCCAATTGATGATGACAATAACATTCCTAACTCTGAATATGTAGGAAAACAAATTTTAGGTGATTTATATCTCCAAATTTAATTAATCAGATTTTTTTAAAAAATTGTTTGTTAAAAATTGAAATACATGGTAATCTGTTCCAGAATGTTGTTCCTAATGTAACAAAAGAGAAATCACAACTAACATCCTAATCAAATGCAACTGGAATCAATCTTCTAATTAATCGAAATTCATAATGCTCTATTTTAATTGTTGTTCAAAGTAACCTAATTAGTTGCTATAGTGATTGACGTAGGGTGAAGTAGGTCATTGACTAATCCTCCCTAGAGCCAAAAAAAATTTATAATCACTTAATAAACCTAAATACAAGTATAGAGGTAAGTCAAGGGTCGAACCACTAGGAACGGTTATGTTCAAGTGCTTTCAATCAAATGCC